TTCATGTACTCTTGAGGCACGCTAGGAAATGAATACAGTAAAATCTAGCAGTACTTTGCCTAAAAACATCCATTATGTCCAAATACAATCTTTCAGAAAATTATTTTAATCACAATCTAATCCAAGTTCCAATAGACATGTTTCAATCTGTCTGCATATCAGATACATGAAGACTCTGATGAGGACAGCACTAGCGTTAAGCAACCAACAAAACTTAAAATAGGGTGATGGATTCTTTTCAGCGGTGGAGGAGGGAGGTAGTGGTATGTTTTTGAAAGGTAGCTTTAAACCAACTTGCTATCCAGTTTGGACAAGCAGTAGAAGAAGGAATAACACAAAGGAAAACACGAGGAGGGAAAAAGAGGAAGAGCAAATGCACAACCCTGTATCCTTGTTCCTTTCTTCTTCTTCTTCCAGCGTATGGACTGAAGGAATGGGCACAGAAACACTTCTGCTCTAGTCCTCCTTGTAGAGTGTAAGAGATGCTTCCACTAGACTTCTCCCTTTTCCTGCATTTCTCTTGCTTGTTTGTACGGTTCTAGGTTTCGCTCTAACCACATGAAAGCCATGGCACAGTAAGAGCAGGAGCACAGCAGCTGCACCCACATACTTGAGCCCTGGATCCATCTTGCTGCCATGTAAGAACTCAACTAGCTCAAAGCACGTGGAATGGGACTACTGAGATGAACACAGGATTTCAGCCCAGTGGATGATAAGATGAGCCAGATGATCTCCGGCTCATTTTTCCTTTTCTCTCCACACCTGCTCTAGCCCTCTGTCCTTCACACTCAGCACTGGTGTTCCTCCCTTAGCCTGCAGACAGCTGGTCCAAGACCCTGTCTTACAGGAACAGCTGGAAGAATATATTAGGATGACAAAAACAGAAGTAGGTTCCAGTTGTATGTGACCAGAACTGCCAAGAAAGTCAGCTGGAAGATACTGAGGTTAGGATATTAATTTTCTTTTCTAATTTATTTCTCAACAGAACTGACCTGTTCACATATGGACTTGCTGCATTGCTCTCAAAGCTTTCTCCAAAACCTGACTATTTCAAGAGTTATTGCTGGTTTGCGTAAAGTACTCTTATTTACTTAAAAAGGAGACCTAGAAAAGTCATTAAATTTATGTTTTGCATCTTGGAATAAGTGAATTTTCAAGTAAAAAATACTGATAGTACAGAATTAATACAAGACTTAGATATTAGAACAGATCAATCTGAGCTATCTTGGTCTAGTATTCAGCTGCAATATATGCTGTTTAGAAATGGATGTATACCTGGGAAAATATTCGTATTTTAGTGTAAAAATCATTTGAGATTAGAAGGGAGATTCTGAGAAAACAAATAGATAAAGAATTGTCAAAAACGTATGCAGAACATGTACAGAGCGTTTTATCTATTAAAAAAAAATAAAGAGAATAGAAGATGTGGTGTAGGAGGAGGAACAGGTAAAATCAGGCAGGGCAGACTCGGATTACTGTAAATATGTAGACTGAATAATAACTACAGAAAAAGCAGGACCTCTTGGGTAACTAACTACATTTCAACTTCTAATCTACATTCATCCCAAATATGTTAGCACCATATCTTTTTATACACTTTCCAGAAAACTAGACTTCAGTAGATCCATACATCCTTTCCTTTCCTTTTTCCTCTGAAAATATTAAGAATTAAAACAATATAAGATACTCACAATAATGAGTATCCTCAAAAAATTTACAAATATAGTTACAGTGTCTATAAAGTCATTTCTCACCTTCCAAGGAAATACCAGGATTGACCCGAATTTGGATCTGCTTCTAGAGATTTCTGGAGATACTGTATAGCATAGCTTTCCTTGGTTGCCTTGTCTCCAAGCTGATCCACGGTGTGATGCATCCAGCCTACAAAAAGAATCCATAAATGGCAGAAGTGAAATTCCCTAAGAACATTTAACACTTTGGCACAGCAGGATATTCAAAGTATTAGTTCCTCTTTGAAAACAGGAATATCAAACAACAATATCACTTACATGGAATGTTATGAATGAAACTTTCAAAACTTTTAAATTTCTATACTAAAATTACAGGACAAAAAGACCTCAAGACAAAACTACTTTCAGGTACTTTTAAAGTGCTTTTTGGTTTAAATAGTTTTCTATGAGGTTAGGAGCACAATAATGAACTGCTCAGTCTTCTACTATAAAATGTTAATCTGGAAATGTTAACTCTTTCCTCCTCTGAAATCAGATACCTTCCCTGTCACTGTGAAAAACACCACCATTCTCCTTGTCACGAACATCACTCATCTGTCCATTATGTTCATCTTACTGCATTTCTTTTAAATCCTCGTATTTATCCCATATCTACATTTGGGTGATTCCCCAAAAGAATTTTTGTAACTCCACTTAAATCTTTCTTAAATTGCCATTTCATCTTCATTGCTACAACATCCTTTCTGTTCACCTTGACAAATGCAATCATCTCTCCTCTACATAAAAAATTCTGCTGAAAAGATAATTTTACTTCCTCATCTAAACACGCACCATATTCTTTCAAATGCTTTTTCTTTCATTACTTTAGACAAATTATTCATCTCCACTTTCAAGGCCTCCCACCATATCACCTTTTAGGTGCTATCAAAATGCATCTCTGCTCTAGCAATGATGCAAGGCTTGGTTACCATTTCAAATAAAGCACCTTCATCATCTTCTCAAGCTGCCCCTCATCTGCCTCTATGCTTAGATGGAATTCCTTTAAGCAGCCACAAAATCATCTCAGTGCCATTCCTATCATGAGTATGAGGAAATCCTTTGTAACAGGCAGGTGGCATGCTGAAATCACTACATACGACACCAGTCAGCAGTTTCTTGCTGTTTGCTTAACCTCCATGTATTTGTCTTAACAATCCACTGCTTTTCAGCCAACATTTGTAGAACATAAGATCTGACAACAGACTGTCCCTACATTTTTACAGTGTCCCACCCATAAACAGTCCCTTGTGGAACACTATGATATCAATTTTTTTCAAATATCCAACGTTGGTATAAAGTTTCAGTTACCTACAGAGTTGTACACGCATCTGTAATAAATGTCCATTTAAAACCTCCGTCAGCTAAACTTCAGCGCCCTAAGACTGTCCTTTTTGATACAGTCTAACTACGTGAACAGGTAATACCACTCAAAAGCTCCAGATCAAATTCAGTTCTCATTTGAAATGCTAAACAAAGTAGGCATGGCCGAGAACTGAACTGCTGAGTATTTGAGGCCTTACTTCACTCTCTGTAATTAGACTATACCTAAAATATTTTATTCTGCCTGTTCTATACATCTTGTATTTGGGCTTGTAATTTGTTAACAGTCACAGCAACACTTCTGCAAATGGAAAGCAAACTTCCAAGCTTTAAAAAAGGCAACGTAAAAGAAAATCATATATAGTAAACAACCTTTGCCTGAGGTGTTTTAAGAATTATCACTTGGAAACTGTGGTCAGAAGCAGAAGTTTGAGTATTTCCCGAACTGCAAGAGAGGTCAGGTCAGGAGCCAAGTGGCGAAAGTGCAGGAAAAAAAAGCGTATTTTAACTTGTCTGAAGATGGATCAAGTCAAAACTCTACGCCTCAGAAAAAAAAAAAACAAACCAATAATTTTTGCAGACATACAACACACACAACTGTGTCTCATGGACTCCATGAAAAAGTTATGATTTTTATTCAAACCCCAAGACACTGAAGTTCTTAAGCATACAGAAAATACTCATGCTTCAAGAAAAAAAGTCTCATGTGAGTGTGGTTATCAGAATGCACCTGTGTAACTGTACACTAAGGATAAGTGTATCGAGCACAGTGCCAGGCAAAGCCTGAGATAAAGCCTGACTAGTTCAGGGATTATAAACAGGGGTGAAAAAAAGACATTAAACAATTTCCTGAATCTTTTGAAATGCTGTGTGGTGATGCCTATTTTCTGTTTCGTCAGAATCTTGCCAGATTGAAAGATAACATGTTGTATCTTCAGGAGATCTTTACTGAGGGTCACTGATAAAAAGAATCTGTTTCCAGGAGGCAGAAAGGAGAACTAGCATTCCCTATCTAGTTTCACTGCTGAAACAACAGTTGCTTCCCGATTTTATCTTCCTGTGCAGGGAGGTGAAAAAGGGAGAAAGTAAGAGAGAAGGTGAGGAAGAACAAACAAAAGTTTTCTGCTAGAATAGCATAGGTAAAGGAAACCGAATCACTCCTCATGCATAAAATTAAGAACGTACAGAAAGAAGGTGATGGAAAAACCCTGGTAAGCTGTGCAGTTTCCCATTTGCAAGACCTAACTCACTTTGGACATTTTTAACATAATAAACAAAAATGCAGATTTTGTCCATACTTCACAAACGTTCCACGCTCTTTTCCAGGTCTTTACAATCTAATTTGTAACAAATCCCTGTGTTGCCTCAGCAGCAGGATGTGCTAGCCTAGCTCATGCTGCAGGGGTATTTTTATGCTTATCAATCATGATGAACTTGTGGCAATTGCTTTTTCTCCCAATAAGCATCATCATCTCAGTCTCTGAAGAAATGAGCCTCTTCTCCATTTTAGCATCTCATGTCTCATCCAACTGTGTGGACATCACCTAGGAAAGCTCCTAGCTGAAAATCACTGAGAGAGTGCTTTGAGAACCTCTAAGCAGATGCTTACATTGTTCTTACTCTTCCTTATGCAACTGCCGAGTATAATTGTAGAAAGAATACTGGAACAGATCTGATCTTCAGTCTCACTAATTTAGTGTAATTTTAGGCAAAGCAGTGAAAAGAATTACTGTTTGGAAAGCAAATGAAATGGCAAGAAGAAACAAACTGCTCTTATCCAACTGTACGGATCTTACTGTTAACATCTACATGAACTAGTCAGCATGCATCAGCTCAAACAGATACGTATTTATTTGAGAATCACAGGGTTCTCCTCCATAGTGATCTGCTTTAGAACCCAGCAACAAGAGCAAAGATTTTAATAATTCTCTCACAAGACATCTGAACTTACTTGAATTTCAACTCTGGCTCATTAAACACTAACTAGCTAAGGAAAATAAATAAAGGGTGCTTTAATGTCAAAATGATTTTTATGTGGAGATAAAAAAAAAAAGAGTTCAACATAAAAATAAAAATACAAATATATTTTGACTGAGTTTTGCCAGTAGCATTCTAGCAGATGGCAGGTATTTTCTACTATTTTTCCTAAGCTCTACTGCACCACCCGGACCATGCTTCCTGAGGAGATGTTTTTATTATCAGCTGCTAGAGACTAAATCTGCGATAAACACCATACTCTGATACATGCCACTTTAACAGCGAAGAGCAAAATAAATTATGTTATTCCTTGTATGTTCTGGTTAAGGCCACTCTGTCCCTTTCTTCACATAGAAGCTACCCACACTACAACTAGGTGACCTATGCTGACTGAATAAAGGGAGCTAATCCAGTTTGCAGACAGCAGACAATTCTCAAAGTCATTGCTCTTGTTGCTAGGATAGAGACCTGTGGTAGGATTTTATGAATACAACCATGAGCCTCTGCTACTAATGTGGCAGCATATATCAAACAGAGTTGAAAAAGCATTGGTCAGCTGTTTGGGGAGGTCTGTGTTCCGTTCATCAGATATATAGCCTTTCTGGATGAAATTGCCGAAAAGTTACACTAAGCGTGATCATATCTAGTTAAAAAAATTCAAAGGAGATGCTGAAATATAAGCAACACTGTCGTGTGATCGCAAAAAGATGAGTAGCTAGAGTCCTGCAATGAACTCCTCCAGGAGTTTCATTTGTGATTTCACACAGAAGAATCAAAAGCTAAACAAATTAGCCCACACCAAATCCATAAACAATTTACATTACGAAAAAAAGAGAAAGCATTGTGGCCAGTTACTAATTTGAATTAAGTGACCACTATGTGAACAGGGGTGGGTGGGGGGGAAATGGGCATAAGCAGGCTAAATTAATATTTAGAATAATAAATTAGATGAAGAACATGGAGAAAGTGAATGAGTAAGTTTTGCACCGGGTTGAACAATTTTAACAAAATATTCTGGAAATAGTTTTATAAGGCTTATAGGACAAAAGTAATTTATTCTACCCACCCATTAGAAATTTTGGTCTACAAATAATTTATCAGCTTTCTATAAATATGGAAGATGACAATTTTTTAAAAATAATACTTTTCCTCTTTTTACGTGGTTTCTTTTTGGAATTTGATGATAAACTTTTTCATTACAGAAATAGGTTTTCATTATGTACTGTAACTATGAGAGAAAGAAAAGGTAAATTTTTCATTTGCCATGTTCTTCTGTTCTGCAACAGAGAAGAGTATTTTGGTTTAGTGCATTTAGCCTGGCTATTCAAGGGATGTTCTCAGAGGCAGAACAGAGAATACAAAATTCTAACTGCTACACTCCTCTGAAAAACCGTCCCCTCATTGCCCAAAACCTGTAATACACATACTCTAGAAATTCTAGTGTAGGAGCTTTTTAATTTTCTAAGTTTAATTAAAATCTTGTCCTCCTCTCTTATTTACTTAATTATCTACTGTTATGCATTCTGGTTTGGGTGAAAAGCTCACACATCATACTCAGTGTCTAAGACTCACTTTGGAAACGGAGCCTTAAAAAACACTGCTGATGGCAAAGATAGAAAAAAGAAACACATAGGAAAATAAAAGTTAATTTTACATACCTAACTGCTGTAAGACAGTTGCTTTTACTTGTGCAGGAAGGTTTTCGATCTGCAAAAGTTGTTCATAAGCTTCCTTTGCAGAGTGATACTTTCTCTGCAAAAGGAAAAAAGTAAATGGATTAATCATAACGCTTACAACAGATCACCAATAGCAACGATTTCACAGCACTGACAGCACACAAACACATTGACAAAAAATTCTGAAACTTTTATTTTTTTGCATACAGTGCATATGAAAGCTTTAATGAGTGACGTATATATACGATAAGAGAATAACTTCCATAAATACAGTATTTAATATAAATTGACTACTTAAAACAATTGAGGGGAATTTGCAAATTATTAAATTTGGTCAACTCATATATGCTTTATGCCTCTTACACTGAAATGAATACGCTGCTTTTAAGGGGAATGTTTGAATGGGAATCTGCATCTGAAAAAAACCCTACACAAATTACTTCCAGGAAATTCCTAACAGAAATTAAGATCATCAGTAATTCTCGGCTGGTTTAATTTTGCCTCTCTCCTTCCTTCGGTATATTTTAACTGCCCTTTGTACATATCTGGATTCGTGGTAAGATTCCCCACCATATGCAGAATTAGAACACATCCATGGATTACGCCTAGAGAATGAAGGTATGCCATCTTATTATTTGCTATATAGTTTAAGTGTGCTTAAAGCATGGAAACATTCTATTCTTAACTGCCTATATGGACAGGTCTTGATATAGAAAACACATTTCCAGGTTAGGATTGTCGTCTTTAATGACTTCTGGAAAAGTATGAGCTGTTTTGTATATATTAAAGATTAAGATTTCTTGATATATGAATGTTTTTGTAATAATAGCATTATTTTTACGTTACCCTAACAATAATTGTTTAACAGTGAATGTATTTTCAGTGCTTAATTATTCTGTTCCTCCTTTCCCACAAAAGTCTACTAACAGACCTCAGCATTTGTATCTTCTAAAGAGTACTACTTTTTTTTTTTTTTTACACTTTCTAAAAAGTTTATACAAATTTTTATGAAAAATATGCTTTCAGATAATTCACCATCAGACTTCATTCTGGAAAACTGATGAAGAACGTACTAAAATAAATGGGGCCATCTAAATGCAAATGATCATGACTTATGTTACACTTGTTTTTTTATGCAAAGAGTACACAATACTGACCACTGGTGTTTTAAAAGGGACAACTGGGAAGAAGACTCTAAACAATATACCCATTAGAAGTTAAAAATGTTATTAGGTTCTTGAGATCTCACAATCATAAAAGACAACTCTGTTGGTTTTAAAACCTTATTCTAGTCAGGAAAGAAATTAAAGCAGCAATTACATACTTTCAAATGGAACAAGGGGAAGTTGGTAGAAAAGATTTTTAATTGGTGTTCATGAAATGCAGACAACTGGTAAGAAAACAAATAATATAAATAAATAAAATATCCATGGCCAGCAAAATAAAAACAATCAGGAAAAAAATTTTGAATTTAGCATTGGGAACAAAATCTGTAGTTTATGACTATGAAGGATAAGCAAACGAACAGAAGTTCATGATATAGCATGACAGCAGAGGCAGCAGTCCGGATGTCAAACAGGTAAACATTAGTGCCCAATATTCCCACTTTGAAAGAAATATTTACATCCTTGGGAGGATTCAGAAAGACCTATTGAAATAGGGCAAGTTTTCCAGATCTAGAATATTTTTTACTTTTGTTATTTGTTGCATTATTTACCCTTTGGAAATCTGTCTCCATATATGCCTTAAAATATTACAGAAAACTGTCATGTTTACATTTGCTTTTATTTTGATGTTAATTCCAAAGATCCAAAGTCCTTGATATTGGCTGCATCACGAATACTCTTAGAAATGGGAAGAGGAATCTAATCCAACATCTCTCTTTAGACACCTTATAAGCTACCACCCTAAATAGCTAGAGGGGCTCACACTGCCACAGATGAAATAATAGAAACCTGCATGAAACACCATGAAAAACCACTGCTAACTCTCCATCAGCACTGGGCTACGCTCTTGTTTAGAGGCTGGCAACCCATCATTTAAACTCCAGTACTGTGAAGGTACATAATTAAGGACTGAAGTAACTTCTTCATTAAATATTAGAGAGCAGACAATTTTCAAATATATGGAGAGGTTCAGAAAACTGTAGCACTGTGTCCTTTAAAAGAAACCAAGCAACCAGCCTGCCTCCAAAAACGCCTCTTTGTTATGTCAGAGGTAATATCCAGAATGAAGTCAAGACTCTTTGTGGTTCCAAGTTTCTCAAATTTCAGGAAGGATAACCCTCTCAACCAGAACCATGAGAGAAACCAAGTCTAGTAGCAGAACGCACTGAAACTTTTTTGCTCTGACTTGCATTAAAATAAAGTTGTCACTGCTTAGTTGCCAGTCAGAAAGTATAGCTTTAGTACTTGTAACATTGGTCACACAATTATATAAGGCACTTGGCATGGTGACCTGAGATGTTCAACTTTCTATTTTACTCTAGCAGATCAAAAGAGCTAATGTGTTGAGGATGCTTTGTTATATAAATGTGTCAGACGTGCTCCAATGCTCAGAATGAAATCTGGACAGTGGCCAGGTAAGAACCGCAACAGTCCATGAAGTTTCTTAGTGGTGTTCTGGGACAGGAGATTTCTGTCTTGTAGTATAGCTTTGTATCAAAAGAATTCAAAAGAAAAATATCTTGCTTATCAAATTTGTATCTTTTATTTATATATAAATATAAAGTCATTTTTCACCGTGCCATCAAAAGACAGCACTTACTCTACCAAGCTCCTTTTCGACTGACTGAAAATGTACTTTATTCATGTCTGTCATCCATTTTAATTACAACAGTTTTCGTTTTCATGTTGCATCCCTTCCTCAGTCATATAATACCAATAAACATGATAAAAAGGCACATAATCTACATTATATAACTAGTCAGTCAAATTACAAATATAAAATAGCTATTTCAGTAGCTACTTGGTTTTAATTTACTTATATTCTGGAAGCTCAGTAAGTGGTCTGTAACTTCCTGAAAGATTTACCTAAAGAACTCTGTGGTAGGATTTGATATAGAATTAATAACACATCCTTATGAGCTGTTGACCTAAGATCTCAAATGTTTCTGTCACATATGTTCAGTTAAATTTGAAAATGTAATGCCAAAAAAAGGCACCAGGACAACTGGCTAGACTCGACTGTGTGTGTACGTATGAGAAACAACATGAATATATAGACGAATTGAGAAACTACATATTTTTTTGTATATATATATAACTTTAAATACATACATAATGTTATAAAAGAATTTTACTAAAAATTATGCTTAGGGGTTTTTTTTTGCACTCAGCTTGGGAGACTAGTAAATATGTAAGTTTATTAAAATAGCTGCTCCATTTTATAGCATAGTCCATACAGAAAATATTTTTAATGAAGCCAAAGCAAATAAAGTTTCTTTAGCAATTTAAGACTTAAGCCTAACTTTACAAAAACATCTGTAATTTGAATTTCGCAGATTTATTACATCGTATAGTTAGAAACTCAACTATGCTTTACAAAAAGGAGCTTAAAGCTTACCTGGATTTCATATAAGTGGGCGATGTGAAACTGAACTGTAAAAGTGGGGAAATCAAAATTATTAGTCTTAATGAACTACAACAACAGTATGTTTTATATCAAGAGAACGTTAAACAATGTTTCAAATTTATCAATGCAAAACCAAAGTAAATCACATTTTGAAGATACCAAAAAAGTATTTGTTTACACTGGTATTTTACACTTAAAAGTAACAGAACTGACAGAGAATGAAAGTATTTGTTTACACTGGTATTTTACACTTAAAAAGTAACAGAACTGACAGAGAATGAAAATATTCTAACAAAAGCATTAAGACTGCAAACAGATACAGCAGAAAGGCACTCCACGGATTTTATTTGTATTCTGAAACGGAGAGTCTGTTAACCTTTCAGTAAACTTAGCAATAAAATCTCTTTAAGCAGAGATGCACAACAAGAGAAAACAGGTAATATTTTCTGTACATAACAGAGTTAAGCAATAAAGAAAACTTTTATTTTCATTCAACTGCCAAGGGACAGACTAGCTGGGTTACAGAACAGAAAACTACATTATACTCTGCCAGCTTTATATAGGATCTTAAATTTAGGTGTTTGTTTTTTTTTTTTTCCTTTTTAGGAATTGTCTTTCCCCTGTTAAACTGAACTAAAAGTGTCAGTGACAGATGGTATTCTGATGAGTACTGTAAAGCATCTTAAATTCCTCATACAAGTTGCACAGAATGCCATAATATTACTAGCAACTTTTGGAGGCAAGAAAATTGCTGGCTAGAGAAAGAAAATCAAAGTTGTGCAAGGGGAAGAGCAGAGGGAAAATTATCCTTATGCTGCTCAAATCACTAATGAAAAGGTGGAGTGCCTATCTCTAAGGCTTGAGAACTGCTAACCTAGACTAGCCATCAACTGGTAGATGGCTAAAGATAGTTGAGATGAATGCAATCGTTATTCCAGTTTGATGAGGAAAGAAATATTCCTTTGAGATAGACTTTTGCCTGATGTTCTTGAGGACTACAAGAAAGAAAAATACCTGTGTTTGAGCCAAGCTCAATTTATTTCAATTACACAGATTTCTTTCTCTTTAAGCTACAGAACAGCGTGACACAGAGGTTTACACAGGTAAATTGGAGTTCCAGGGTTTCTCTCTGGGTCACAGGGAGGGGAAAAGCTCCCTTTGTGCACTGCTTTGTCCTTCACTATTAAGAAGGTAGCCTAGTGCACTTCAGAAACCAGGTCATAATGAAATGCACCATCTAAAATTTTAATGAACTTTTGGTGTTCCTTGCTAACAGGCACATAGCATACTCATGTTCATCTCATTGTCAAACTTCACACTGCACTGATGAAAGAAAAAGCTCTGCTTTTGTTTTGGGACTTCATTATCTAAAAAAATCTCTCCTTTATTTTTTCCCCTTCATAGCAAAACCCCTTCAGTGTGAAGCTACAAAAGGAAGCCATGTCTTGCAGGGGAAAGAAATGAAAGGTGACACATTAGTGACTGCCTAACTAGAAAGAAGACAGGCTTAGAACTCAAAAATTCCTGCTAGGAAGACAGTGTAACGCTGTTACTCACTCAGTCCTTAGAAAGGCAAGGGGTAGGATTAAGGCAACCTCAAGCATTGATGTGACGGTACCTGACATCCCAGGGTCAGAGCGCATGGTTCTCCTTCCGCTAAGGAGCACAGGAGGACCTGACAAAGTATCTGTCATTCCTCTTCCCTCTCTTCCTTTGGGTCTGTCAGGTACCGTGCCCAAGGCCACAGGGCAATGAAGACCTTACATGGGGCCAGACCTCTACACAAATCTGGGGGCAGAAGGGACTGTGGGGAAGACGTTACAAAGACCTTACAAAAATTCAGAGATATAGTGAAAAACGCTAAAGTTAGTGAGAAATAGTATGAACTAACATGAAATATAATGAAGAATCATACATCTGATAGAAAACAATAAAAGCCTATTGACTCAAGAAGAATTCTTCAAATAATTTTACAAAGTTATCTGTGCCTGTTTCTGATAAATGACACAGCTTTGGAGAAGACCTTGTAGCACGGCTGGCTCCTTGATACTGATACAGCCAGCAGTTTCACTCAGGTACACAAACCTCCTTTCATTATCCTTGCTGACAGAATAGTCACAATTCCATCTAGCTCTGAATTAAAGAAAAAAAAAAGCTTTTATAAAGTATTTTATCCAATGCTTCTGGAGTTAGACTTAGGAGGTAACTTAACCTCAACACGAAGAGCAGCACGAAGGTACCTTAAAAACGGAGGGTTTCCTTCATAACTGTCTGCTTTTTAATTCTTACAGACTCTAAAACATGCAGGGACATACACTTATTCTTACATACAATTCCACCAACTATGGATAAATACCTGCAGGATGGTCTGTAATAGCCTACAGTATATACTGCACATGACAGATCATGCTCTACTAAAAGATAAACATGTTCAAGTACAGATGAATATATAGTTGGCACCTAATAAAACAATCAAATTACATTTTTATTTCTTACTTCAACAGCATACAGTGATGCTAAATTTCAGCTCTATAAATTTAAATGTCATTGAAGTGATCACTGAAAAATGACAGGTTATTAAGATGCCACAAAGTTTTAAATAATTACTATTAAGCATGTGCCATGGCACAAGCACTATGCTCATAAATAAAGAAATGAACAGTCAAATAGTACGTTTCCTCCAGAACTCAAGTCTTCAGAGCAATTAATAAGCTAAGTCTCAATTTTTACTTACTCCATTTAACTAAAACAATCCACAATTCCACTGGAATATGTCTCCACTGACAGATGGAGACAGGTTTTATAGTCTCCCTCTTTGAGTACTGATTCTTTTCATTCTGAAGGATGGGTTCATTAAAAATTGATACAGTTGTGAGCATAAGACCTGAAAAAAAAATCTGCAACAAAATAAATAGAAATACTTATAGGTTACTTACTTTCAGCGTTAGACAAAGTGCAGGGATTGCAGTCAATCAAAGCTAATTGAAAATGCTGAAAAAAAGAGAATGATTTGTTTTTGAAACAAAGTAATACTAGCACTTTGGCAAATTAATAAGAATAAATCAATTTTGTACTTGAAAATGAATATGGCATTTTACCACGTGTCTTAAAGGAAACAATTTTACTTTTCTGTTCAACTATTTACTAGAGGAAAGTAAATTTTTTTTTAATGCAACGTTGCAATGCTTCTATAATGTAAGATGGCAACAGACATCTTCACAAAACAATTGAGATAGCACCTGGAAGAATGACTGCATCAAACAGATAGTCAAAATTGGAAGATACAAGTTTCCTCAGAATACACAACTGGGAACGTAGCCATGCTAGTTCATAGCCTCATGGAGATAAACATCAAAGCTCTCAATTTGTCTATCTAGAAAAAAACGAACACTCTTCCTTCAAATTGAATGATTTGAAGTATTTTTAAAAATTGATCTCTTGTCAAAAAGCACTTAAAATGAATCCCTTTACATTAAAACATGAATTCATAAAGAGTTCATAAGTTCTTACATCCTCTCCTCCAGGTGTTAAGGTAACTTCAGTTAAAACATTAAAGCTTGTTTATTTTTTATCACTTTTCCTCAAGAGATATGAAAAATATCTTTTAAAACATCTTCACATTTGGAAGTTCTAAGCCAAGCACTTCACTCTTCTAGAAAGAAGGTCACACAAGCAGAGCAATGAAGTCTGTCTGCCAGAAACTCTGGATGTGAGTAATCATTTTACAAGTGTCACGCTAATTCAGCGATCACTATTTGCAGTTTGAAAAATAACCAAGTGCGTTAATATGAATGGATCAGGCATACAAACTCAAGTGTCTCTGAATTTTTCCATAAACTTTACAGAAAATTCTTACACAGTGTGGAATTTGGATTAACACATTAATTCTATAGGGAATAAGGCCTAGGAATATAGGAATCTAACAGCAAAATAAAATATTACTGTTAATAAACACAGTTATCTGCGAAACAGTTTCAGGTGGCTTCTAGTACACAAAACATTACTGATGCTTCAGTATATTTTATTTTGTTAGCACAAAAACAGTAATTTAGCTCTGGCTGTTCAGGATGCCAAACTAGGTGACATCAGGAGCTTATTAGTGCAGCTAGGAAGGAAAAAAAAAAAATCCTTATCAATGGATTTATACGCAACTCACTTTTGGTATAGTCAGATTCAGAGCTACTAGATACTACATAACTTTCCTCATGGTCCTAATAATACCTCATGTATAGCATGTCTATATAACATACATATCAATGATTTATAAGAAAAGTTTAACAGATCACTAAATTTCTAAATAAACATTTTAAACAGCAAAATTACTAGAAAATTAACATATTATCCATAGCAAAGCATAAAAGAATGCTGACACTCTCATGAGCTCTGCGAGGCAGTGACACAGCTTACCTCCTCACTGACTTCTATCAACATAATTTGTAATACATAACAGCTTTTTTTTAAAAAAAAAAAAAAACAACAACAAAACGCTCAAGTCAAATGATAACACAAATTTTTGATTTTTAATGAACCTTTTAGCAATATCACTCCTAGAAGACAGCATGGAAAACAATGAACTCACATATACATTACTTGTACAGTAACTTCTAAGCCTTAGAGCAAGCATTAAATAATAGTTTATAAATATTAAATATTAGCTTATTTCTCTGCCTTGCCTGTTCCTTTTCCTAGTGTTCAGCAGTCAGAGAACTTAAAATCTCCCCTCACTTACATTGCAATGCAGGTTGTGTGCCTCAGAGACATCCTTTAGTCGGTTACCATAGTGATTCTACTAAGCAGGCAACTTAAAAAAAAAAAAGACTAAATAAAAATAAAATGCTCTACTTTATATTGCATTTTGCCAGACAAAATAAGAAAAAAAAAAAGGAACGACCTGTATACTTTGGCCTGTACATTGATTGTACCAATCGAAACAGTACAAAATCTGTTTTGCACAGATGTGTCATCTTGCATTGTCACTAACAATTAATATGAAAAGATAAAACAGAAAGGAACAGATTTGCTCTCACCTAGCAATGCTATTACAAAAAATAAGCAGATCTAAAGAGAAACGGTTGAAAACTGTTCTGTAGCAGCTTTTCAGAAGGGTTATCGCAGTGAGACTCACTGAGAGAAAGCAGGCAACCATATAAGAAAATCTAACCATTTTAATATTTAAATATGCCAGTAGTATCAGTGCTGTACAGTAAAAAAGGCAGGTATATTCTCAGCAATGCCTCCTAAAAAATCTAAATTCTTACTGCTACATTAGCTGACTTTTACATGTCAAAATTGATATTCTGAAAATTTTGTAAGAGTAGTACATTTCTGCCTGCACTGTTCACAAATCTACAATCAGTAAAGAAATGGATAAGCCAAAGCCCGTAACTACAGGAAAATAAACCATCTGCACTAAACAATTATCACACAGCAACACACAAAAAACCCAGAACCTTTCAAACCAAGAACCTTTGAAATGCACATACACAAGCAAACCTACACCTCTACCCAAATAAATAATACATAGCTCCCTGTTACGTATTCAAAATCAGACCAAAAAAAAGCATGCATGCATTCTAACACATAAAACTCATCAGCCAAAAGCAGATCCACTAATCGCAATTACCAGAACCAAAAATTAAAAAAAAAAAAAAAAAAAAATCGTAATAATTCCCAACTTCCATTTCTGCACCAAACAGAAGCGGCTAGCAAACATCTGCACCTCTCTCAAACATTGCAGTACTGAAGCTGGCTACTGCTGTGTGAAATAGTTATTATGCAGGAGAGGCCGCTGCAGTTCAGAGACGACATACAATACCTCAAGGCGGACAGCAGTCTATAGAAATTCAAATCCCGAGTAAGAGGATTTACCTAGAAGGCAGTGTTCTGAATGTTAAAAAGTAACAGGCTCTCTCCAAGAGCTGCAGCTCAAGTCATAATATACCTTGATTTGTAGCCATCTGTAATTGCACAATTATCTACAGCCTATTTTGTCTCCTCTGGAGTCCTTGACTTGCCTCGGATTGTGGCAACAATTCCGAAAGTAACCTTTCCAAGGATCAGAAGGACAGCGGACTGCGTATAAACAGAACTGAGGAAAGCACTATGTCTGGTAGTAAAATAACAGTAATCTGACACAGATTTAGGTAACTCAGTGTGTTTTCACTACCAGAATTAAACACCGATTCTCCTAACAAATTAGTCCTGTACAATTTAAGGGGCAAGTACCCGGGTTTTTGTTGCTGCTTTAATCAATAAATGACCGACACAAAAATAACCGTTTTCTTCTCAGTGCAAGATTTTCAGTACTCTCTCTGTTTACAGCCAAGCCTGCGACCTCAAAATAGTGATTCTACTCCCTCCTCCTCTCGAGGATGACATTACAAAGTTCAATAGCTCTCAGTTCCGCGTTTATCCAGCAAGCCCGGCGAGCCATCGCTTGAAACCTGACAATTCTCACAGACTTACCATGAAGGAAAGCTCCATCATGACTCAGTAATAATTCTGTCAGGAGATGGCTTTTTCTGCCTGTGTGACCTAGGTGTGATGCCCATGCTCCTCAGAGCAGCCTTTGTTCGGATAAGTAGGACAGAGCAAGCCTTGCGTAAGGGGCCGTGGCAGAGCGCCAAGCCTCCATTTGCCAGGCACGTCCGGGGCCAGGGGAGAGGGTCAGGAGAGGACGTGCGACACGTGCCGCTACGTCGGCTCTGTGCCCCGCTTCCCCAGCGCCTTCCGAATTCGGAACAAATTCATCGCGGAAGATGAAGGTCTGTGCAGCGTAAACACTCGGTTACTTTTGCCCAACGTTCAAATTAAAGAAACAAAAACCCTCAAGACTGAGGAGAACTGCTACATGGACAAGGCAGAAGGAAGCTGCTTGAGGGCAGAAGAAACAAAGGTCACACATAGACATAAACTGAGTAACAGCAGTATGTTCAGAAGAATTCCTTGTTTTGACTAGTTGTATCTGGTAAATTCTTTTTGAACAGAAAGACCAACATCTTATACAGTTCACCAGAGTGTTTTTTTCACAAAGCTATCTTAATACGTTGCCTGCACGGTTTATCATTATTTGTGCATCACCACGATTTAGCTGTCCCTGCGGCACAGCCTGACGGACAGCTAGCAGCAATAAAATACCGTAGGGACAGGGGCTGACTGGAAGCTTGCCCCCGCTGCTGCATCACCAGCATCACCGCGGAGCTGAACTGCACCGAGCTGGGGTCGTTTCAGGACCTGCAGCACTGCTTCCACCTCCTAGGTTGATCTGAAAGCACAGGATAATCCTTGCTGGGTAGCTGTGGCTACCTAGTCAGTACCCATGGCTAGCTATTATTGCGTGCCCTGAAGGCCAACTTTTCAGTTACAGTCACAGCTATTAAAATGGACTAAGATCCACCTCCCACAAGGAGAAGGCCCGCAAATGAATTAAGCGTACCAGCACCAATACTCATTAGCTTAAATGCTCAACTTCCAAGTCAACTATTTCTCTTCTCATGGTTTGTTCTCCCCTCTCTCCAATGACGGAATATGCCACACCGCATGTTAATTCAATTTTAGCATTTACTCCTCTTTGTAATCACATTTCTAAAATACACCTACAGTTTTCTTTTACAGGAAAACTCCAAAATGATTCAAAAACTAAGTAAGAGAACAAATATTGACAGGACAAGGGGCAATGGCTTTAAAATGAAACAGGGTAGATTTCAATTAGATATGAGGAAGAAATTCTTCCCTCTGAGGGTGCTGAGGCAGTAAACAGGTTGCCCAGAGAAGTTGTGGATGCCTCTTTCCTGGAAGTGTTCAAGGCCAGGTTGGATGAGGCTTTGAGCAACCTGGTGTTGTGGAAGGTGTCCCTGCCCATGGCAGAGGGGTTGGAAGTAGATCTTTAAGGCCCCTTCCAACCCTCACCATTCTATGATTCTACAAAAAAAAAAAAAAAAAACTACAAAAAAACCCCACAAAACCCCACTCTGTAGGCCAGGCTTTGTGAT